TTCCTATCCTCCATGGGAATCTACGCTGGAGCCCATTTGAACCCTCCAGACATAAAAGGTAAAATGATACCCCCTCTTCCTAGTAGTGTGGTTATTCATTCACTTTTGCAGGGAAGGAAACCCTCTCGGCCTCTGAGGTGGTTAGCTATCTGTGGAAGACATTGTTTGCTCACCAACGGCTGGTTGCTGCTTTCCTTCCCCTTCTTCCTAACTGACAGGACAGCCGCTCAAGGTACCTTTACAGCTTCCCTTGGTTACCTGACCATGTGACCCAATCCTGGTCCAGCTGGTCCTTAGAGAATGCCAGCAGGAATGTCCTCTCCAACCAAAACATGTGAAGGTCTTTCAGGAGATAACCCCTTTCTTCCCTTACATGAGACAACAACCTAGCTTTCCCTCCTGGCACTCATGCCCTGGGTGGTCCCTGCCCAGCCCACAGTGAAATCTGGTGGGAGTGAGGGTGGGTTGTTCAGGTTCTTCACTGCAGGGGAAGCCAGTTGCCATACTGTGAAGACACTCTGACGACCCTATGTTTGAGTCATGTGAGGAATGGAGCTTCTCTCTCCAGACAGGTCTTCAGATGACTACAGCCCCAGCTGACATTTCACATTAGAGACCGAACTAGAACCACCTAGCTAAACTGCTTCTGAGTTTCTGACTCATTGAAACCAAGAGAGATAATAAATGATCGTTGTGGTTTAAAGCCATAAGTCTGGAGAGGATTTGTTATACAGGAATAGATAAGTAACCAAGGACCAATACTCTAAAGATTGTGGAGAGGAAAGATATAAAAATGCTGAAGTCTTTGATAATATCCATGCCATTGAGTTAATCAACCCTGAAACCACCACTTCCTGGCCTTGTTCAGCTGCTCTAAGGACTTATGTTACTTGCAGCTAAAGGTCTTCTGATGGATTCATCTGCTTTAAAAAAGAAAAAAAAAAAAGATCCCCTGAGAATTCCTGACGTATGATTCTTCTGGTCATTTCCTATTCTGTTAAACTGAAAATTTCTTCATTTAAAAAAAGGAAACAGATATGAATTCTTGTGGGAGTCCTTCCAAAAGGATCTCCACTACAAATCTTCTCAAATGAACTTTTGTGTTAATCAGAGCTCCTGGGGGCCAGTGAACTGTGATTGATCAAATTCATAAGCTTTTCTTCTTTTTTCCTAAATGGAATTAACTTGTACATATACTTTGTAAAGTTTTATTTACATTTTCCATCATACCTGGCATATCTTTCAGATCAACGTTGACCAACATCATGTAAAGGACTGTCTGGTATATTTCATTGTCAGAGGTACTATTGATATGATCAGTTTCCTGAAACTGGGAATCTAAAATGTAGCTGCTTTTTGAAAATATTGCAAACACCACCTTTACTTTTAAGGGAATGGAATTTTGACAATGTTGTACCTTTCTTTATGAATGTTGCAGAGCCTGTAATGCCAGCTGGCCTGAGTCTTACTATGTGGCTGGGAAGGGGGCTGCTATAAGTGATGAAGGATTTGCAACCAGCACAAGGGTGGTCCATCTCCTCCCCATTTTCTCCTCTGAAGATGAAGTATTCCATCCAGGTCATGTGCAAAGCTGTCTTTTTCAGCAGACACTTTTCTCCCTCAAGAAGAGTGTTACGTAGCAGAGATTTTCCTGTTCTTTGAAAAGCAGGACATTCTGGTACTGATTCCAATTTGGGAGACCAGAGGTAGCCCATTTTTACCTGTTCCATGATTTCTTAGAAGTGAATGAGCTAGACCTCCTGAGCCTCCCATGGGACTTGCAACAGGATGCCTGCCCTTGAGCTTGTAGCTGAGTCCAGAGACAGACAGACAGAAACAGCAAAGCTGGACGGACCTTCTGGGACCAAGTATTCCCTCTATTGCTGTGACCACCAATATTTGAATGGGGAAACTGAGGAACAGAGAGAGAAAGGATCCTGTTGGCATCTCCCAACACTCTAATCCAGGCTTCCTACTTGCCCATTCATGACTCTGTGCTGCCCCTTGGGGGTCTCTTGCTCCTTGAAAGTGATGTTCTTCAGCTTAACTGCCCAGATGCCCTGGGAAAAAAATCTCTTCATCCAGAACCCCTCTAGGGGTCAAAGCTCTGCATCCCTAATGGGGAGCAGTGGTCAGATTCCAATGCTACTCTCTTAGCCAATATCCAGCCTCCAGGATGAGCCTCTCCCTTGTAAATTCTATCAATGGAGCCAAGAACATGCATTTCCCACCTCACTGGGGGACCCAGTCTAGGGTTTCGGGTTGTATTTCATTACCATATCTCTTTTGTCTCCTATGTGAATCAGTCCTTCAGTTTTTCTCAGTCCTCTTACATTGTTACTTTTAGGTGCTGTTGAGTCAGTTCCGACTCATAGCGACCACCAGGACTCCTATGTTGTTGTCATGTGCCGTGAAGTTGGTTCTGACTCATAGTGACCCTGTATAGAGTTTCTGAGGCTGTAAATCTTTACAGGAGCAGAAAGCCTCATCTTTCCCCTGCAGAACAGCTGGTAGTTTTGAACAGCTGACCATGAGGTTCACAGCCCGATTCATAACCATTACGCTACCAGAGCTCCTTTAGGACTCCTATGTTGTTGTTGTTGTGATGTGTCGTGGAGTCGGTTCCGACTCATAGCGACCCTGTACAGGGTTTCTGAGGCTGTAAATCTTTACGAGAGCAGAAGGCCTCATCTTTCTCCCGCGGAACAGCTGGTAGTTTCGAACTGCTGACCGTGAGGTTCACAGCCTGATTCATCACTACTATGCTACCAGAGCTCCTTTAGGACTCCTATAGTACCTTTAAAAAAATAGTGTTGCTCAAAGGCAAGAAGTGACTGGCTTACAAGCTTTCAATAGGGAACCCAGCTCCACAGGATACTGGGAAAGGGAGAATCTCCATTGAATTGTTTCCAACCTGTCTGGATGGTGTTGATAAAAGGTGCGTGGGGTGGGGAAGGGGAAAGGGCTCCTGTGGTTCAATAGGGAATGATTGCTATCAGGTCTGACAGTGAGTGTTGGAAAGGTAAATGTAAATGTTTGGTAACAAAAGGAAGGGAGCGGCTGATTTTGCAGTTCAGGAGTGGAGATCCCTGGAACCATCAAGGGAGAAAAGCGAAGTGAGAAGTGTGTGACACTGTCGGGAGGCAGTGACACTAGGGATGGAGGCAGAGACGATGACGATGATGATGATGATGTGGACAGAAGGAACAGCTGGGGACTCTGGACTCAGGGAGGGAGAAGGGCTGTGGGCTGGCTGCTGGGGGGCAAGCAAGTGGGGTGTAACCTTTGGTTGTTTGATGATGCATGCAGGGGATTGTGATCATTGCAATGAAACAAAATACAATAGGGTGAATGTAAAGATTATGTTCACCTATGTAAACTAACACATAATTCACAATTAAAAAAAAATAGCGTTGCTCATTTGAGGTTTGCTTGATTGATGTTTGCTCACGGTTAGAATCCGATTGCACATTCCTGGCTGGAACATCGCAGAGGTGGTGGTGTGACCTTCTCAGGACATCACTTCTAGAGGCTCACACAGCCTATCTGCTCTCATTGGTGATTTATTTAATCACACTGTCAAGGTGTCTGATTTCTCTACTATAGAGTTACTCCTTTTTTGCTCTTGCTACTAGCTGCTGTGGGCTAATGCATCAGACTGCAAAGTCATTTGAATTGCAAGGTTGGTGGTTCAAGCTCACCAGCTGCTCCTAGGAAACCCTATACAGGGTTGCTATGGGTCAGAATTGACTCGACGGCACTTAACAACAACAACAAACTAATAAAGAAATGAATACTGGGGATGCAATGGCTGCTAACTGGAAGATTGCCGAGTCAATCCCACCAGCTGCTCGTCAGAAGAAAGACCTGGTGAGCTACCCCATAAAGATTATAGCCTTAGAAATCCTATGGACAGTTCTACTGTATCCTATAGGGTGGCTATGAGTCAGAATCAATTTGATGGCATCTAACTGCAGCAATAACACCTAATAAATATCCCGTAAAGAGACACTTTGAGGCATTGGTTGTTCCAATGGTAGACTTCCTGCCTTCCATATGTGTGACCTGGGTTCCCTTCCTGAACCTGCAGCTCATGCGCAGTCACCAACTGTGATGCTGACCAGGTTCTAGTGAAGCTTTCAGACTAAGATGGACTAGGAAAAAAGGCCTGGTGATCTACTTCCCAAAATCAGTCAATGGCTACCCCATGGATCACAGTGATCCAATCCACAGTTGATCGTGGGCATCATGATTCAGGACTGGGCAGTACTATGTAACTGAATAGCAATAAACAGACACTTTAAGACCATACCAATATCCTACTCCTAATGAGCCCAACTGCAAAGTCGGTTTGAACTGCAAGGTTGGCAGTTCAAGTTCACCAACTGCTCCTTGGAAACCCTATATAGGGTTGCTGTGGGTTGGAACCGACTTGACGGCACTCAACAACAACAAAAACAATGAGCCTAAAACCCCCAGAGGTTGTCATCCATTGATGGGTTTTACCCACAAGCTCTCTCCTTTTCTCCAGTGAGACTATCAGGTTCTGAGTAGGCACCAGTCTTCACTTACAATCTTATCTCCTGGCTGCCTCCTGGATTGAACCTGGGTTTGAGCCCCTTGTTCACAGTCCATCTTTAGTGTAGGAAGTCAGCCCACTTCACAAGGGACAGAACTCTTGGCATCGTTTCATTTCCTTCTTGTCCTCGCTGTAGCCACTGGCTAGATCAAGAGGACCACAGAATTGTCTAACTACCGAGGGTGGGGGTGCAACGAGCCTCCGCCCTCTAGCAGGCCTCAGAGTGGAGGATGGTGAAACCTTGGTGGTGAGGTTGTGGTGGGCTTGGAGGAACCTGTGACAAGATGCCCAACAGTTAGGGCAGCTGCTCTGAGGTTGGAAGGCTGGGAGCACACAGGAAGTGACTCGGTGCAGAGCTTGTGTGCCTTCACTGTGTCACCCATCTCCGGGACCAGAGCTGCAGGCTGGCTCAGCTGTAGGGATGTCCACAGGGAACCCAGAGTCTGGGTCAGAGGGTCGGGGCCAGCACTATGGGGCTGTGGCCTCAGAGCAGCGGTCCTCTCTGACTGGGCACACCCCCTGGAGCCTGCCCCGCTGGAGAGCTTATGTGGCGGCTGCAGTGCTTTGCTACATCAACCTTCTGAACTACATGAACTGGTTCATCATTGCAGGTGAGGATGGGGGCCAGGCACTTTGGGGCAGGATGGCCTGTTGCTCGGCCACCAGCTGGGGACGACGGTTCCCACGGTGGCCTTCTACCCTTTCCTTGCAACATGTCTCTGATGTTCTCATACTTGAATGAGGAATTGGCATTCGTAATCCATCCCCAAATTAGGATGGTGCCCAGTGGGTGTGGAGGAAGTGAGAAAGAGTGAAGACTGCAAGAAGACTGGGTCTTCTAGGCAAAAGTCATGAGGTTGTGACTGAGTCTGCCAGGGCAGCCTGGGCCACATCTTGTAGCTGTTCCTGGGGCTGCAGTCTGCTTGCAAACCCTCTGCTCTCTGCCTTCCTTCCGGTAGGCCCAGGGCCCATCTGCTTCTGTCTTCTCGGCAGGCACTCACTCACTCATCCATCCATGTACTCTGGATTGGGGCTTGCTAAAAAATAAAATGAAAAAAATGATACCAATTATCCTTCCCACAGGCACTCTCTGCTCAGCTGGGTTCATTAATTCATCGCAATGGCCACACAGAACTCAGACACCGTACTTAGAGTTATGGGTTTTAATAGGGAAGCTAACAGGTTACAATTCAGTGTACAAAATGCTCAGGGCACAATTCTTCCAGTCAGAACAGTCTCCTGTCTCTCTCTGGCCCTGGGCCTCTTGGCCTGGTCTCTGCCTTGCTTGGAAAATGTTACAAAGTTCTTTCCCGGCTGTTAATAAATGCCCAAGGGCATTCACTCTGCTATCATCCTCAGCCAAAAGGCACTAAGCTCTAGCTCCAGGCTTCAGCAAACGTAGCTCCCCAACCAACTGCCTGGAGGCACCTCACTCTGCAAATGAGCCTCCTGTCCCAAGACTTTCAGCTTTCCTTGTTCTGTGGGTCAGGAAGCCCATAGCTCTGTCTCCTGTTCTGGCTCTGGTTACTGTTGCTCCGTCTGCCGCTTCTGCTACTCCCCCAGGGTCACAGCTTTCTGTGCCTGGGTCGCTGAGATTCAATGTGCAGATATCTCAGGACGATGTCCTTCACTTCTGACTCTTCTAGATGGAAGTGAAAGCCTCCCTCCTGCTTTGGAAATGGCTTATTTTAGACACGTTGGAGTTTCAAGTTTTACAATCATAATGAACCCTGTTAACAACCACTCATAACTGAATCACAATCCATCAGCATCTTCCCCCACCTTCTCTTACTCAGACTCATCAGGAAAAAGTCATTTGGTGGGAATTTACAAAGATCATGCTAGAAGAGACATTAAATAATTCACTGCACCACAAGGCTTAACGTGCTTTTCTATTCTTGTCACTCATTCACTCACTCATTCATTCATTCAAGATGGACTGAGCAAGAGGTATGGACAGGACCTTCTGGGAATCCAGGGAGGAGTCAGATTTATAGTTCCGGTCTGACTTCAGGAATGTCCATCCAGGAGACTGAGGGAGCTCATTACAGGAATTCTGCTAGGCAGAGACATGTGACCAGAGGAGGGAGATGCAGGTCAGTTGGTGAGTTCAAGCAGCCTGCAGGACGTGGATTAGTAATTTAGGAGCTCTGCCTATGAATCTTAAGGTCAGCAGTTTGAAACGACCAGCTGTTCCGTGAGAGAAAGATGAGGCTTTCTGCTCCGGTAAAGATTTACAGCCTCGGAAACCCTGTGCAGGGTCGCTATGAGTCAGAACTGACTCCATGGCACAACGTGATGATGACGACGCACGCTGGAGAGTAGTTCTGATGTGGCGCTGCTGTGGGTTAATGCGCTGGACTGCATAGTAAGTTTGAATTGTAATGTTGGCGGTTCAAGCTCACCAGTCACTCCTTGGAAACCCTATACAGGGTCCCTATAGGTTGGAACCAATTCTAAGGCACTTAACAACAACAGCAACAACATGTTGGGGAGTGGCTGTGAATGAACTGAACCCTGGGGCTGCAGACTTTACCAGACCCAGTGTCTGTGTTGGAGGAGCTCAGGCAGTGGGGGCGGGATGACACAGACAGAACACATGTCCCTGTAGATGACTGAGAGTTAGACAGAACTCGCAGAAGAGGGGCTGTTGAATTTGGACTTTGATGGCTGAGAAGATTGGAATGGGGTATGGGGAGAGCTGTGTTTGCCAAGGCATGTGCATTGAAGTACACGCTCTGGTGAAGGATCAGGGGATGAAGAGAGGGGAATAAAGGTCAAAATTAAGAGGAAGTTTGGGACCAGATCATGGGCTTCTTGGATATAGGCTAGGTGCTCAGTCTTTCTCCCATAGGCAATAGAGAGCCACAAAAGTTTTTTTTTAAAGTGTGTGTGTGTGTGTGTGTGTGTGTGTGTGGATAGCATTACATTTGAGTCTTTGATGGAGGCAAAATGAAACAGAGAGATGTAGCTCAGAGGCTACTTCAACGGATCAGGCCAGAGTGAGGAGGTCTGAGTATGAAGAGGAGAAGAGGAAGCCATAGGAACTGGGGGGATCATCGATATGGAGGTCCCTCCCACTCTGCCCTCGAGTCCTGACTTGCTGGGGCCTCTCCCTTCACTTCCCCTGGTCGTGGGAGAAGCGAGACTGTGGTTGCCATTCGGACCACAGAAGCCCGGAGAAGTGAAACCATGCATAGTGCTTTGGGGACTATTGGGGGCAGGTGGCTCAAAGGCTTTCATATGAAATAGCCTCCTGGGGAGACCTGAAGTGACTGGCACCTACAAAAACAAAGCTGGGTACACATTTGGCCCTGGGCTACCTCCAGATCACCCCAGGGTTGACAGGAACACAGGAGGAGAGCAAACAAGGGGATGGATGAGTCCCCTATTCCTAAAAGCCAGAGATAGGGTAATCATAGAGGATTTTTATTTAGTGATTTATTTTGCTTAATTGTGTTGTCTATTTTGTATCTGCAAGGAATATGCCTTAATTGTATGATTAAAAACATTAAAAGAGGGAAAGATATGCAGATTTGTGTGAGGGGGCTTCAGAGACTTCATGAACTTTTGGACTTCCTGCTTGTATGCATGCATGCCTGGGTGCTTTGAAGATGGGGCTCAAATTAAATGTCTAAACAAAAGTCTCTTATTTCACTTCTTGGATTCCTGGATCTTTTTTAGCTAACAGGTGTATGTCTTGGGGGTGTGGATCAGGGGCTTCCTTCCCCATTGTGAGGATATTTCTATAGCACTCCATTTAGGGGCTTCTGCTTCTCTAGGAGTCTAAGGGAGAGGATTTGAGTTCCGGCTCCCTCAATTCCAGGTGTGCAGCCATGGGTAATCTGGCTTCTCTGCTTACTCATCTGTAATATGGGAACAAATCCCTACCTTTTCGGGCAAGAACTGTAAGTGTCCAGTGCAGGGTCTGGTTTTCAGCCCTCTCGGAGCTCAATGAAAGTGACCATGACAATGCTTAGTAGTAATGGCCGGGTCAGAACCTCGTAGTCTAGGTGAACCCTTTCTGAAGTACCACCAAGGAGCCAAGAGGTTTTCAGGTAACAGAAACCAGGGTCTGGGGGCCCGATTCCAAAGGACTCAGTGCCCATTGCTTCAGCTATGACTTAGCAAAGACTTGGAGGGGCTTCAGAGCCCTGACTGGTATAGAGTGGGAGCCTGCACCCTCAGTGAGGTGGGGCTGCGAATGGACCTATGTGGGCCCTAAGTCTCTGAAGCGCTGCGTGTTCACACTCACAAGTGCGCTCCTGTCTCTGATAGAACTTGCTGTGTGGACACGTGTACATACTTAGGTGTGAACATGCATGTCTGTGCTTGTCTGATGTCTGTGCACAGACAAGCAGCCCTGCTGTGTTACATGCCTCGTGAGACTTCCGTTTACACTGTAGTCTAAGTGACCTTACACTGTGCAGTAGTGAGGTGCTGCCAGTCACTCAGACTACAGTGTGAATGACATCCCAGCATATGTGTATGCATGGTTACGGGTGTGTCTCTCTGTGTACACCTCAGGGTATATGTGGCTCAGTGATTATATGAAATTAGGCTTACATGTCTGTAAGACTGGCTCTTGTACGTGTATGTGGGTGTCTACCTCAGGGAGTACCTGCTTGTATGCATATACATGTGTGTATATACATGTCTGTGTGTCCGTGACCATATGGCTGTATGTACCTGTGTGTGTGTGTGCCTTTGGCGCTAGCGCTAGGTCCCATGTTGTGCTGCTCTTCTGCTTTTAGAGATCCAGCCTGGCCACACTACTGCCCATTCCTGAGCTCTGCCTCTCTGTCCACAGGAGTGCTGCTGGACGTGCAGAGGTTTTTTAAGATCAGTGACAGCAACGCAGGCTTGCTTCAGACTGGTAAGGAGTGAGTCCCTGGCCCTGCACCTGTAGCCCTGGTTTCATCTGGAGTGGGGTCTTTCAGCAGGTTCTCCTCTGTCGCCAGCCTCAGTTCCCAGGAAATCACATCTACCATGAAACCTGAGAAGGGAGTACTGAGGATGCTGGGGTTTGGGTATGAAGGGCAGTCTGGGTAGGAGGAAGAGCCGGTGTGAGGTAAGATCTAGCAACTGAACAGTTCCTTCTGGTTTGAGTACAGGGCGCACTGCAGACAGCAGGGGAAGGGGCTGGAAGGGGCTGGACAAGGCCCTTGAGCATAATTCAGCGCTGTAGAATCAGATATGCCTCTTGTTAACATTTGTTAAACTCAGCTGTGCACTAGAAGCTATAAATCCTGACTCCTGTTGTTTTTTTTCACATACTGAGAAATACTCCCACGTGGACTCAGGTGGTATCTAGCCCCACAGGGGCAGGGGTAGTTGGAGTCATGAGGCATTGACTTGTATCCTGTGGGTGTCTGGATGGTAACACACTGTCTTGGTTATCTAGTTCTGCTATTGCACAAAAAGTCCCACAAATGGATGGCTCTAACTAGCAGAAGTTACAGATGGCTCTAACTCTTTCAGAGTTTGGAAGCCCACTTTCTTATAGGCTAGAAGGGTGCTGGCCCCAGGGGAAGGCTCTGTATGTGTGTCAGCTCTGGGGAAAGTTCTTCCTCTTCAGCTTCTATCCTTTGGTTTCTTGGTGATCTTCCTGTGGTATGGCCTCTATCATGCCCCCATACCTGCTTGTTTCCATTCCTCATTTAATCTCTTTTGTATCTTAAAAGAGATGGACTTTAGATATATCCTACACTTTACTGGTGAGTTCTATCAAACATTCAGAGAGCAGCTGTCTGTTCTCTGAATGTTTGATAGAATTTTACTCAAATGATTCCAGAAAATAGAGAAGGATGGAAAACTTCCATCAGCATAATCTTCATACCAAAACCAGGCAATGGCATCATTAAAAAAGAAAATTATAGACCAATATCCCTCATGAACATAGATACAGAAATTCTCAACAAAATCCTAGCCAATAGAACTCAGCAACATACCAAAACAAAACATCATGACCAAGTGGGATTCATACCAGGGATGCAAGGATAGTTCAATATTAGAAAAATAATCAACACAATCCACAATATAAATAAAACTAAGGAAAAGAACCACATGATTATATTGATTAATGCAGAAAAGGCATCTGACAAAATCCAACATCCATTCCTGATAAAAACACTCAATAAAGTAGGAATTGAAGGGAAATTCCTCAACATAATTAATGGCATATATACAAATCCAGCAGCCAACATACTCTCAGTGGAGAGAAACTGAGAGCATTTCCTGTGTAAACATGAACCAGATAAGGATGCTGCTTATCACCACTCTTATTTAGTATTGTGTTGGAAGTCTTAGCCAGAGCTATAAGGCAAGAAAGGGAGATTAAAGGCACTCACATTAGCAAAGAGGAAGTAAAACTCTATTTGCAGATGCCATGATCTTATACATAAAAAATCCCAAAGACTCAGTAAGAAAATTATTGGAAACCTTTGAAAAGTGTCAGCAAAGTGTCAGGGTACAATATCAGGATATAAAAATCAGTTGGATTCCTCTATATTAATAAAGACAGCTCTGAAAAGGAAGTTTGGAAGACAATATCATTTACAATAGTCACCCAAAAGATGAAATACTTAGGAACAAGTTTAACCACAGAAACAAAAGACCTATACAATGGAAACTAAAAAACAGTATTACAAGAAACCAAAAGAGACTTACAAAACTGGAATACATACCATGTTCGTGGATAGAAAGACTTAACATTGTGAAATTTCAAAACTACCCAGAGCAATCTACAGATATAATGCAATCCCATTCCAGATTCCAACATCATTCTTTACAAAGATGGAAAAAACGATCACTAACTTTATATGGAAAGGAACGAGACCTTGGATAAACAAAGCACTGATTCAGAAGAAGAGCAAAGTTGGAGACCTCTCACTCCATGATCTCAAAAATTACTACACAGCCACAGTGGTCAAAACAGTCAGGTACTGGTGCAATGAAATATATAAAAATCAATGGAACAAAATTGAGAATCCAGATGTAAAGCCGTCCACATACAATCAGCTGATCTTTGACAAAGGACCAAAACACATGAAATGGGGGAAGAGATAGTCTGTTCAACAAATGGTCCTGATAAAACTGAAAATCCATTTGCAGAGGAATGAATCAAGTCCCATATGTCACACCATTTACAAAAACAAACAATGTGGATTAAATACCTGAATATAAAAGCTAGAATAATAAAGATCATGAATGAAAAAATGGGGACATGCTTAGGGGCTCTACTACATGACATAAATACGCTATGATACATTGCAAAACACACACACAGTAGAAGACAAAATAGATGACTGGGACCTCATATAAGTTAGACACTTATGTGCATCAAAATATTTTGTCAAAAGAGTGAAAAGGGAGCCCACAGACTGGGTAAAGTTTTTTTTTTTTTCAACAACATATCAGACAAGGAATTAATAACTATAGCTAAAATTTATAGAAAACTACAACACCTCTACAAGCAAAAGGCAAACAACCCAATTTAAAAATGGGCACAGGACATGAACTGATACTCCACCTAGGAAGACATATAGGCTGCCAACAAATATGAAGAAATGTTAATGACCATTAGCCATTAGAAAGATGCAAGTCAAAATAACAATGAGTTAAAACAAACAAACAAAAAACAATGAGTTATCATCTCACACCAGCATTAACAACGAAGTTTTAAAAACAGAAAATAGCAAATGCTGGCAAGGGTGTGAAGAGACTGATATCCTTCTACATTGCTGGTGGGACTGTAAAATGGTTCAACCACTCTGAAAAAACAGTGTGGCACTTCCTCAGAAAGTTGGAAATAGAAATACCATGTGACCCAGCAATCCCTCTAGTTGGCACATAGCCACAGAAAATAAGAGCCAGGTTATGAGTAGATCTATGCACACTGATGTTCATCACAACACTGCTCACAATAGCAAAAAGATGGAGACAGCTGAAATGCCCATCAATGGAAGAATGGATAATCAAATTTTGGTACATACACACAATGGAATACTATGCAATGTTGAAAAATAACAATGGGATCTGTGAAACACCTTTTAACATGGATGAACCTGGAGGACATTATGCTGAGTGAAATAAGTCAGTCACAAAAGGACAAATACTGTATAAGATCGCTACTGAAAAAACTTAAGAAAAGGTTTTCATACTAAAAGAAACATTTTTTTTTATGCTTAGCAGGGGTGTGAGGGAAGCGGAAGTACCCTCTATTCACCTGCTAGAGGGTACACACATATTAGCTCGGGTATTGGGGAAAGCAACGTTACAAGAAGGGGAAGGGCAATATACAATAAAGAGGGTGGCAAAAGAATGATGAAGATACGGGGAGGTATGCATGAGCTAAAAGGGACAGAGGTAAATAGTGAAATATATACAATCCTGGAGCAACAGTGTTCTGTGTGTAAATCTATGGACTGAGACTGAATGGATAAGGAACTCTAGATATAGACATATAGATATAGTTGATATTATTAAGTGCTGTCGAGTCACACACACACATATCCCACTAAGAGATAAGAATTTGAAAGAGGATGTTTGTACATGATATTTACCTTTCCAGTAAAAACATTCATCGTTGTATGAATGTGGTAGAGCATACAGTGGGCAAAATGATGAAAACTTCTTAGATATTATCAAACATCTTGCTGGCCCTGGGGCTCAGGACCATAGTCCCAGGGACACCATGGTCAGTTGGAAAACATAGTCCACAAAGACAATGTTCTATATTCGATTTGGGTGAGTAGTATCTGAGATCTTAAGGTACAGCTATTGGTCTTGCCATGTGCAGAAGAAAGAAGAGTGATGAGAATTGAAGTAACTGGAAATCAATTAGTCTAATGGGCTTATGGAACTTGTGAACATTAGTCTCCACAACTTTGAGACCAGAAGAACTAAACTGCTCTGAATGGGATCCCATTAAAGGATTCCAGATAGAGCAGGAGAAAATGTGGACTAAAACTCAAAGTTATTTAATCATAAAAAAAAGACCGGATTTATTGGTCAGAAAGAGGTTGGAGGAACTGAGACTATGGCTTTGACCACCCTTCAGGTCTGGAAAGGAAGTCATCCTCATTGTCCAATTTTAGCCAAGCAGTAGATAGGTTTATAGGGGATGGGGGTGGGGGGACAACAACATTAGTAATGTATGCTTACCATGGAATGGTCAATCAGTTAAAATCAAAAGGGCAACATTTTCCTAAGGACAAAGTTGGGAAGGGATGGGAAGGTGGGTGGAATGGAGACAGGAAGCACAGGGAGGAAGTGGGAGAACTGTTGTTGCATGGAGGGGAGCCTAATCACTGAGATGAAACAAAGCGTATGATTTGTTGAATGTAAAACTGATGATCTTGTCTGTAAGTCTTCACTCAATTCACAATATATATATATATTTTTTTTTTTTTTAAAAAAAGAAAAAAGATACACACTACAGGAATCTCTCATTAATTTAACAAAGGAAAAACCATTCCCCAATGGGATTATAGCCACAGATAGAAAACAAACTCACGGACACTGGGTGGATTCCAATCGGGCAGTGTTTCGTTCTGCTGTGCACAATCAGGTCGCTATGAGTTGGTACTGACTTGATGGACCCTAACAACAACATAGGACAGAGTGAGTAGAACTGCTCTGTAGGATTTCTGAGGCTGTAAATCTTTATAGGGGCAGCCAGCCTCAGCTTTCTCCCAAGAAGTGACTGGTAGGTTTGAACTGCTGACCTTGTGATTGGCAGCACAGCACTTAACCTGCTGCACTACTAGGGCTCCTTGAATCACAGATGTAGGGATTAGGATTTACAGAGCATGTTTTTCAGGGACACAATTCAATCTGTAACACACACACGTACCTGCAAGTATGTGTACTATC